GAGATGATGAACCACATGAACCCTTATTTTCTTGCGGCCCGTTTGAACTATTGAATTTTTGGGATTAAACGCGGTGTTGCCTTGTGGCTTGAAGGCAATGGCAATGCCAATCATTCATTTTGTTATAAGACAACCAGAAAGTGAAAAGTAGTGCACGTTGCATTGTCAACTAGCACAATGTTTTTGTGAGCTTGTGCTTGGTCCTTCTAGCCTTTTAGCTACATGCACGTCTTTACAACCCAAAAGTTTTATGTGCACACATGATGTATGGTAAACCATCCATCATCTTTCTAAAATACTTATTGTCTTTACTTAAAAAAAAAAAAAAAAAAAACACTTGTCGACCACTAGCTAGAAAGATGAAATGTCTATTACTAGATCCGTTTAGAACTTTTTTTTTCCTTTTGATACAACAATCATGCTAGGCCACATAATGAACCCATTACAGGATTATCAGAGAGATGAGCAAAATACATACTTCCAACGACACCGATACTATTCTTCACTTGATAATTATTATCTGCACAATCCGTCAGATGTGTGGTTTTATCACAAAAGACATCAATATTAGTTGAAGTGAGATTATGATATTTAAATGAATAACTACGTGACCCACCAATTATAGAAGTAGGATCTTTGGCAATTCTTTTCTTTCTTTCTCTTGCGGACGTGGGATTTCAACACCCACCATAATAAGATATCAAATTTAACACCAATATATTATGAGAAATTATGGAAGTTCTCTCAATTCAGCTCCTAATAAATCTCACTTATGCGAGTCCCTATTTTGGACTTTGGGGGCGTGGTTGATTTCGTTTATGATTTTACTTTTCTACTAATGTATTTGAGAGATTGTTGACAATATTCATGTATCAACGACATGGAGATAGCTTAGAGCCGACACAACTGCAGGTAACGGGTGACATTGCAGATTATTCCAGGATTTCATGTTGCATGGAAATTAATATTGATTATGGAGAGAGAGAGAGAGAGAGAGAGAGAGAGAGTTTTTAGGGCACATGTGTAAATTAGAAAAATTCTATCTACGTCCAATTCAGACACTCATGTTTTTTCGGACACCCTCTTTTTTTTCACCTTTTTTTAACACCTAAAATAACTTGTTAATTTCTCAATTTCTCAAGAATGTCGTTTTACTTAATCAAATTGTTTTCTCTGTACCCCCCATTTTCTGTATTTTACATTTCATCTCTTTTTTATCCTAAACTTAATCATTTAAAGACTTACATAAGATTTTATGATAGACTCCAATTTATTGCGCCATCATCAGTATGTATGGTGTGCGATTGGTTAGAAGAAATTTACTTCGAATGCAAACAAATTCATTACTCAATGGCATCAGATGCACCTCAATCAGGTCTTCAAGGAAAAGAATAAAAAACTCCAAACCAAAAATACTAACATGTTAATTTACAGTTCATGAGAAAAAGTGACCTGAAAACTCACATACCAGGAACTTTAAATTAACAAAACACATAAATTTTAAGGAGTTTTAACGAAACACTTCCGGTACTGTTCATTTTTAACGAAAATGACATTTTTGCTCTAAAAAGTCAATCCTGGTACTATTCACTTACAACACATTTTTGTCATTTTGATTAAAACTCAAAGTTTTCAAACCTTTTTAATTAGTTTTCCTTAAATTTTATACAAGTGCTTGTCATGGGTAATAAAGAACCTCTTATATATGTATGTATAACATGTGTTAAAAATTGTGTAAAAAAATGAATCACGGATCTCCATCTATTACTTAATGGGTGCAAGTGTTATTTAACCTTGAGCAAAATTCATGGGTGTCCACATATAAAAGCTGGGTGACAACTTTTCCGTCAATTGTGATTGATGCTAAATTAATGAATCACATATAGGCCCATTAGGGGAGAAGAAAATGATTTTTTTTTTAATTCAGGCCCATTAAGGGCAGCAAGAAAAAGAGGTTTTTGTTGTGGGCCATTAGAGTTTTGTTGTATATGTTAAGGAAGTGTTAGTTTTGCCAATTTATACTACGATCTAATGGTATTATTATTCACTTATAAGTGTGAGGTTTTAGGTTCAATTCTCGCCAAAGACGAATTTGAACTACATTATTATAGCTAGCCATTGGGAGGCTTAGCCCACTTCCTCACTCCCATAGTGTATGTAACAACATCGCAACCCCTCATACAAGGGTTTTCGGAGCATCTGACTAAAGATTACAAATCACAAGAGTTAAGTCTAAATGAACCAGCCACTCATAACTATGGTTTGGTGGTATTTTTCTTCACTTGAAAGTAAGAGGTTTTAGGTTCGAATCTCATGAATGGCAAATTCGATACCAAATTGGATTACCCATTGTGTGGCTTAGCCAAACTCCTCAATTATGTGATTTGTGGTTGGCAGCTTTTGTTTAACCTTTGTGGTACATTTGGTACTTGAGAAACCAAGCTCGGCATGAAAGAGTTAGAAGTTAGAAGTAATGTCGATTATGCTTTTAAGCTTATTGTTGATCAAACCCATTTTCTATCAGAATTGGGGTCTGGTGGTATGAATAATGAAGTTTGAGATTTGTCTGTGTTGAAGATGTTTGGTGCTACATGTAGGCCTCGTAGAGCTCACATTATTTTGGAGGTGTGGTGGCTTCCTCCTATCATGGTTGGTTATTTTGGAGGGGCGTTGGCATCCTTCTATCATGGTTGGGTAAAATATTGATGATGCTTGGAAGCAGAGTTCTGTCGTGTCGGTTATGGTGGTGAGTTTCGAGATTTCAAAGGCCAGTTCCTTGACGCTTTTTCCCAAATCCATTTCGGTCTTCTCATCTCACAATTAAAGGGAAGGGAATCAAGTAGCTGATACTCTTGCGAACCATCGATCCTCTTCTACTGATTTTTGTTTGGTGGGACTCTCCTTCTACTTTAATTTTACCGTATTTTCATCGAGATTATGTGGGTCTTCCAAGCTACCCCTTTCGATACATTTTCTTCCATTGTTTGTTATTTTATACTGGTTGTTGAGGTTGGTGTTTTCTTTCTCTCATAGTTTTCAATCCCCTTGTGGGTTTGTACGTTTTCTTTTGACATGAATGTTTACATCTTGCATTTTATATAAAATTGTTTGTTGACCAGATTTCGTTTAATTCTAAAACACGCATCTATTAAATATTTTATGTATGTAAATTATATAACATTCAAACTGACACAGATTTGTAGAAGATAACACTATGTATTCTATTTATATTGTTGGGACATATATATTATTTACAACTTGCTAGGGGAGACTAATTAATCATTTCTTTTGGACAAATATATTTAGATTACTGGTTTGAATCTTCTTGCTAGCCACAGATCTTCTACTCAAATAATATTAATTATTTGTGAGCAGACTGTGTATCTCGTTCACACTCTCAAAATATCTAAAGCATGCATGTATGGGACCTTACTCTCATTCACAAATGTTTTCTTCCAACAATATGATAGAATGTTGTGTTGTTAAATGGTCAATCAATTTTTTTTTTCTAACCGCGTCTAAATAATAACCAAAAATTAAATTTCAAACACAGGAAATGGTGTTTAAATTAATTTATCCCGTTCAAAGCCTAACTATATGGTTCATTAGGTTACACATGTTTTTTGTCTGTAATTTACTACTACTAGTTGAACACTATATACTCTAATTATACCTTAAAATCGAGCCATTTGTTAAGGATGCTTACTCTGTACAAATTTACATTAGAAAGGGGAGACAGACCTTTTTTATCACACCCTAATTAAAATTTTACTGTTGATCACTTGGACCGCATCAAAATAATTCTAGGAGATAAATGAATATACATGCAAACTGCAAGGAGACTTCCGAAGGTTTTTATATTGAATTCCATGACTGATATAAGAATGGATGGAAGCACACAACACAAGAACCAACTCATCTTTGATCTCTCATCTACAACTGTTCTTCAGTGCTCTGCCAGTTTATCAAAAGCAGTATAGAGATAAGCGAACAACGCATGTGATCTTGAGTCTCCCTTTGAATTAAGTTCCACATTTTCTTCGTACTCTTATCATGTATCTTAAATGTTTCTTTATTCATCATATTCTTGATGGGAATTTTTTTTTTTTTTTATTCTCATAAATCTAATTTGATGTACCTCAAATACATATTGTTGTAAAAATCATTTCATTTTCGTTTTAGGCCTCAATTTTCATTGGAACGACTATGCGATTTGTATATATATTATATTCTTAACCTCTTTTTATTCTCATAAATCTAATTTGATGTACCTCAAATGAATATTGTTGTAAAAATTAATCATTTCATTTTCATTTTAGGCCTCAATTTTCATTGGAACGACTTTGCAGTTTGTATATATATTCTTAACCTCTTTCTGTTGTTGATCATTATTAGAAAATAGAGTCTAAGTGACATATTTTCAAAATTCATGAAGTTCACATAATTTTCACACAAGTAGCATAACTAAAGCAAATTAATTCTTTTTAAATTTATTTTCTTACAACAGGAGTAGATCATACTACAGGGCATTTGTTAGATGACGAGGAAGACTTCCCAAACTTGATTCCAGGTTCTCTTTTGATTCTTTGTGTGTTGACTTCATTCTTATGTCTAAAACCCTAAACCCTAAACCCTAAATACAATGACTCTCAAATACGTGTAATCATCCGCAAACCACTACAAAAAATATGGGCACTGCACACAATAAATTATATGTGCCCTTTGAGGCCAAAGAGCACCAAGACATGTGCCCATAGACCAATAGCAACAGTGCAGCTACTAAGTTTGTATCTGTGCCCTCTATGGGCGTCACCATTGCTAAAAGGACACAATACACTGTTTGGTGCTCAAAGAGGCAGGCACAAATGGACCATTATTTGTGCCTGTTTCTGACAACTTTATCAGAAGACCTTTTCCAGCCATATTGACACTTATATTATAATTGTGCCAACAAGAATTAAATATTAAAAAAAAATCAAAATTGAAAAATTGAAACTGAATTGAGGTAATTATTATTATTTTTTTTTAATTTTCATAAAATGTAGAAAGCCTACAACACATTCTCAATCTCAGAAACATATATTGTAATGTTACATATTTCATCTCTAATGCAAAAGAACTTGAAAGCAGACATTTTTGGACAAATGCATCTTCCCCAGCAAGCCTTGCACCTCATCAGAAGCCAAAACAAATATAGTCGACTTCAAAACAAAATAAGTCCAAAATTACACCTAAAAAGGAGTTGGTTAAAATCAATACGTAAAAGTTCCAGATCTGCCATATCAAAGATTCACCTCTTTTTCCAACTTGGTGGATGGTGCAATCATCCTCCTGAAATCCAAATGAAAGTGAAAATGAAATTAAAAAAATAAAAAAAGAAAGGACCTATTTCTAGTCATGTTCAGGACCAAAACTTTCAATCGGCATTAAGAACTCAATAGCAGTGATGCATTGCTACTTTGTTATACCAAATTACAGCGAACAAAATATGCAACTAAATTAAGCAGCTAAACCATCATTACCAGCAAACCAGATGTACAAAACAATAAAAGTTTGGACAATCATTGTTATGACATTAATTTCTAAGAAAGATAGAAACTGCTAAGAACCTTATAGGCTCTACAACGCACAAGCTAATAAATAAGTATTTTCAAATCTAATTTTTAGCTTTAGTGAAGTCTTCCATGTTTCCATACGGAAAGATAAGATTCATGGAGCTGTTTAGTTTCTTACGACTGCACGTTCCCTCACTGTTCAGTCTCTCCTAAGAGCAACCTAAACACTTAACTACAACTAAAAACTTGCAACAAAGCCCTCAAGTGGGTACTTGTAGGCTGTACCAATGTAATATATAGTTCATCCCTCTAAAATCCTTCCCCACTATTAGTTGTGTATAAACAGTTAAGAAGCTATAACATAACAATAGCATATGTTCATTTCTAACAATAAAATCATCCAGTAAGAAACGTACTCCTTATTAGACATCGTAGTATTTTAGGGAGTGAAAACTCAAATCCGATCCTCACCTTTTATTATCAACATAATGTGATCATCAAGAAGTTAAATGAAGATAACAAATTAAATTTATGTTCATTTGCTAATAATGAAACAAGTAACAAACATACTTCATAAGTGACGTTTATTTGCCCTAATTGTCAAAACCACAGCTCTCCTGCAAGGCATCAAACAAGAAACCTCTTTTCCATGAAAGTGAAAATAGTTGGGAATAAAAAGGAAAAATTGACGGGCATGGTAACAATACAAGAAATCAATACAATGCAATGAGACAAATCCGACAAAATTCACACCGAATGCCACATGAATTTTAGTTATGGAGATTTTGAGAAAGACCGAAAATTCATCATAATGAAAATCTGCATATCAATGAGAGTGCACAACATTGTAACATTAGATTCAGAAAATGGTTTTGATTGGTTTTGATAGGAAGCATTGTAAGTTAATCCCAAACATTTAATTCATGCTTCCAAAATTAACAAATTCTACAATTGCAAGAGAAACCCTACTTAAATATCTTAAATGCCAAAACCAAAAACTGCCCTTATCTGCTGGAAGATAAGATCCTACCATCTTCTCTATATTCTCCACCACAGTTACATTCTCGTATCTGCATTACCAAACACATAAAAACAGGGCAATCAACTCTCCATCCAAGAAAACAATACAACATTGTTATGACATTATCTTTCCATTTGCTCCACAGACGAACTAATCTGGATGATATATGCAACATTTGGACCTCTCATTGCCAAAGTCATGACTAGTATTAAAAAATTAAAACCATCGATCTAATTCATTAAATTTGATCAACAAACAGAACACACAATTGTAGAACTACAAAAATTGATAGAACAAGATAGACAGGGAGGTACATGAAAATTGTGTACGATAGAAGCGAGTCTCCAAGTGAGTAAACTGTGACGTGCATACAGAAAATAAACAATAATAAATAACTCATATCTGAAAATATATAAACTCAAGCCGCAAAAAGAACACTAATTCAGATCTGGTGCGGCTTGAAAAAACCCAGATCTGGTACACATACAATCTCTTCTAACCAATTCCTCCATACAATTGTACCTACTTAAATTCCAGGCAAAAAGTTCAGATTTTCATATATAAAATCACCACCCTTCAAATAATTCACATAAAAATACACAAAAAACAAGCCAAGCTCTTAGAAATCGAAAGAAGGCTACGTTTAGGGTTAGAGTTTCTCGGGTTCTTACCTAAATCCAAGAATTTGAACCACTTTCTTACAGTTCAGCTTGAATTCAATCTCCCAAACAAAACCACTAACCAAATCTTCAACATGCCAAGTTAAAACCGAATTAGTCCTGAATCTCAAAGAATTTTTCATATCTAAAAGTTAAAATTGAAGAAACCCACTTACATGGATAGGAAGCTCACCATGAGAGGATCAGTTTTCTCTATTGGGTCGAGACCTAGTTTTGGCCGAAACTTGGCCGGCGAGTCCGGCTTGGTCGTTTTAGAGAGAGCAGAGAGGGAAGAGCCAGAACTAAAAATAAGGAAATATCAAAGAGATAAATATGAAGGATGTGTGTGGGTTAAGGGGAGAGGGAGAGAGAGAGAGAGAGAGAGAGAGTCGGATGGATGTGGGTGGGTTGAGGGGAGTACGATCTATGAAGGGTATGGTGGGTTAGGGGAAGAGAGAGATAGAGTTGGATGGATGAGGGTGGGCTAAGGGGGAGTGATAGTGGGGATAATTATGAAGGGTGTCAGTGGGTTTTGGGGTGGGGGGGGGGGGGTGGGACCACAAATTTTTGAAAAAAAATAATAAAGAACAAAGAATTGTGTCTTTAGAAGTAAACTATGGGCACAAATAATATATTAGAGTCCATTTTTTTCAATAAAGCTGTCAGATAATGTATTTGTGCCTATTTTTTTTTACAATAGGCACAATCAATGGTGCCCTCTATGAAATGGGAACTGTTTCAGTGTTTTGATGGTCAAATAGGCACAAAATTCTCAATTGTGTCCTTTATTTTGTACCCATAGCTCATTTTTCTTGTAGTGAACCCTCGAGTACTAGGTAACATGCATATACTCTCTAAAATATTTCAGGTGCACCAACTTTGTATTAGTAAATTTTAAATGTACTTATAAAAAAATGTGTAAACACTTGCTCCGAATTATACACATAGCAAGAGTACTTAACTCTTCAGTGGGTAAGGCATGCTTGCATGTGCGTGGTCCATAAGAAAGGAAACACACTATTTACAAGTACACACATATCTTATCCTAGGTAAGGGACTAAAATCCCCAAGAAGTTCCAGGCATTCACTTTTATGTAAAGGCTAAAAGGACCAATTCAATGGTCCTCCCAGAGTTTATTTTCTCTCTCTCTCTCTCTAGATCTTTTCAAATAAAGAACAACAAAGGGGGGGTTTTGGAATAAAGAAACAACGAATATATAGACTAAAGAGGCATCAATATTGATGCCTTATAAAAACGAATGTCTATGCCAAAAAAAAGCGCATCCAAGTTTGACTGTCTAATCTCACATGGCTTATATCTTCGTCTACTATTCCGTTAGTACGTAGTTAACAGTAATGCATGTCAACTAATTCATATTAATCTGTGATTCTCCAATGTAGTGTGCATCTCTCTCTCTCAGTATATAAGATAAGATTCAAACTGATTAGGTCATGTACCTATTAATTAATTATTTTATATAACTGATCAAGCAAGACAAACCTAAATAATGTTACACTCAATCCATGTGCCATGAACATATGTAGAACCTAACATATCACCGAAATTCAGATTCGTCATCAGGTTTTAAAATAATACGTGTGCCCTTCTGGAATTTGTTCAACCTAACTAATTTTTCGTTGTCTGATTCAAGGGCTTGATGAAAAAAACCAAGCGAAGTTATGACCCGGCCATTGGGTAACAATATCAGTGATTTGTTTTTAGTTTTCATATATTTTTAATGAAAATCTAGCTAAAATTTGAAAACTCTCAAAAGTTACTTTCATTTGAATGAAAATTGAAAACATTCAGCAAAACTAGCTTCCAACTTTCAGTATTTTTAAAAAAATTGAAAAGTGACAACAAAATAGTAACTAAATGGCCCTTAATTACTAAGTTTGACAACATTCTTTTGGTCCCCAATTTACTCTTTGGTGGGTGACTAGCTTTGGACAAAGAAAGGATCTAAGAATTACATAGGTAATTAACTTTCTAAGAATTGTAGCAAACATAGTCGACTGTATTGAACTATCAGACTATATGGAACCCAAAAACTAATTAAATGATTGTGTGAAGAGACCCATATGTATATTGATAGTGATTGGCTGGTATATGGTATCAATCTATGACGATTGCTATATTCTCGATATTTGATTGATAGTTTATAAATCTGAAAATATGACTTTAGCCCCTAAAACTTAATTTTCTCTACATAAAACCCGACATAAGTTTTTTTCTTGAATAAAACTCATTGATTAGATTCCACATCAGCAAATTAATTAATTGTGTTTGACTTCACACATTAAAAAAATTTTGGATGCCTAAAATGCCCATATTTGAATTTTTTTTTTAATTTTTTTATAAACCCTATTTGAATGTTTGATGTACATAATTAATGCCATGAGGATGGATGGTAAGGGAAAATTAATGATTTTACAAAAAAAAAAACAATAATGTTATAAATTCATTGCCTAATATATAATAACATAAAACATGTCTAATATATGTTATTATACATGCTTAATTAAGTCAATAAAATTATATTTTACATATTAATGTAAGTAAATGATTTCACACACACACATATATATGCCTGATATATCTAAAATTCATGCAAAATAACTTACCTACAAAAAAAACATTTGATTCAAATAGTGCACCTACTTAAAAAAAGAAAAATAATATACCCAGTATATGTAAAATACATGAAAAATAATTTACCTGGGTAATAACAAACCCATATATGCAAAATACATAAAAACTAATTTACCTTATAAATTCATTGTTTAATTTTTAAAAGAAACAATGTTTCTACTAGTTTTTTTTCCCCAAAAATAAGGTACCTATTATTTAATTTTTATGAAAATTGTGTACCTATTGTGTAATTTAAAAAAAAAAAATTACATATTGTTTATTTTTTTATGAAAATAATGTAACTATTGTTTAGTTTTTACAAGAAACAATGTATCTACTAGTTTATTTTTACCTTTATTTTTATTTTTTATTTTTAATTTTCACAAGTTAATGTATCTACTTTTTCAATAGAATGTATATTGAACTAATTAGATTTGGATTAGGCGATTTCACATAAAAGAAGAAAATAACTTTAAAAAAAAAAATTAAAAGCAAAAAAAACTTAAACCAATTGAATGTTGTTGACAAACAAAAGACAATAAATTAAAAATCTACCAAAAAACCTGTAATAGCCATATTAATGTTGGTGGCATAGTGTTGTAAATAAATTTAAATGTATGGACATCCTTTATCTTACATAGCACCAAATTCAAAATTTGAATTTTATTTAGATGTTTTAATATAGGTGGGTTTATGTCTAGAGTTCAACAGTTGTAAGGGGCTCTAAAGCACCCTTTATAAATATTACAAGTTGACACAATAACATGTATCACGTGTTGTAGATTGATACTTAATGGCAAACACCTTAATTTCCTTAGGTGTCTCTAGCCTTTTGGTCTTTCACGTGATTTGCTACCTACCTATTATCTTTTCATCCAACCAAATATTGGACTTTTTTAAACACTCCTGTTTATGCGAAATTATTTTCTAGATACATATGATGTGAATAAATAGTTCCTCTTTTGAATGACTAGAAATTTGTAAGTGTGTTTCGCTAAAGCGGGTTAAACTTAACGACTCTGATACAATGATCAATTGTCTAATCCAAAAACTTTCAACTCTATAACCTAAAAATTTATCTGGTTAGTGGAGATTGTTAGTATTAACAATTAGTTATTATAGGATAGTGTTATTCACACACTTAATTTTACTTCCCACACACCCTTGTTATTTTTTTTGCTATTGATCTTCTTCAATTCATTCGATCTGACAACTGGAAATTGAGAAGGATGTGTGAGAAGTAAAATAAGTGTGTGGAAAGCACAACTCTTAATATATTCATGAGAATCGTTGTCACTTTTACAAATGCATATATGTCAGTTAAGAAATGACTTAGAGAATCTCTAATGGTGTAGGCAAACATAACATGCACAAATATAGTATAATGGCTGACGTGCCAAGTTACCTACTCAATTACCTCACGGAAAAAATGTGTCACACTAATGGAATAGGCAAACCATGCAGGCAAAATTTTAGCCCCTAAAATTGATTTATTTTATTTTATTTTAATTTTTAATAAAACCCAACAAAGTTTTTTACTTGATTAAAATTCAATTACTAGGCTCCACATAAACAAATCTATTAATTATTTTTGACTTAAAGTATCTTATAATTTTTGGATGCCATAAATTACCCCGTTTACATTTTTGGCGTATATTAATATGTCATAAAATTCTTTAATGTTATATAAGTTCAACGCATAATAATAACAAGGAAAAATTACACACAAAGTACAATTTTAATACTTTATTTTATATTGAGACAATATTTTTTAAACATTTGAAAAAGATACAAAAGTTAATATATGTTGAATATGACAACATTCCTTTTTTTTTTTTTTTTTTTTTTGAGTTTAAGTTACAAAAATACCCTTTATAACGGTAAAGTCTTTTCGCACGTCTACCTCATCCGTCTTTTATTCCCTTTCTCTTCCATAGGCCCGATTTTTCCTTCTCTCTCCTTTCTCTACTCATCTGATACCCTACTTCTACGTTTTAGCACCAGAAAATATTTTCAACAAATTTATATTAGAATACCAAGAAAGAAGAAAAGAAAGAGCTTTGTTAGCATTGAGAAGAAGAACGCACAAGAAGAGTTATTGAAGCAAGTTGATTACTGGGTTATTAATGTTGGGAAACTACAAGGAAGGAAGAAAATTCCCTTCCCTTCCCTTCCCTTACTGTTGTTGCTGTTGAACAATTTTATCTCTCATTGCCCCTACTTCCTTCTTACATAGCCTTTTCGTTTTTCTTTCTCTTAAAAAAAATAATAAAATTCAAACAAAGGAAGGTGGTGGAACACCCCAGAGAGCAGGAAGCAACAACTCTAAGGACCTCCGGATTTTCCTTAGAGGTTGAATTGATTGAATTTTAAATTTGATGTGTAGGTTTTTCACATCTTCATTCTGTAATAGAGAAACTGTTATCTTTTATGTGGAATGAATGATATATGTATATACAAGTTGAAGTTATTTCCATCTTTATAAAGCACCTTAAGTAGTTAAAGAGTCTTAGTAGAAAAAAAAAAACTTTAACCACTTGCTCTAATAACAGGTAAAATGATACTAGTCACATGAGTTTATAGTTATTTTCAAGAAAAAGGACCCAATTTACCTTAGGTTTGATAGAATCACAACGGGAGGCAATAAACCCTCTCCTTGACATTTTCCCTCTCCAAATCATATGGTATTATGTTGTTATAAATTGATTCTACGAAAAAAAAAAAAAAGTATATACAAAACTGATTCTACATGTATTTGAAACTGATTCTGCAAAAATGATCAAAGATGGGTTGAATTGATTTTACAAAAATGGTTGATGAATGATTGAACTGATTCTGCAAAATTGTCGAATATGGGTTGAACGGATTCTGCAAAAATGGTTGATCACAGATTG